TGTTCTTTTAAGTACTGGTCATAAATTGCTATAGAAACAGAAGGACTAGTCCTACATATAAAGTTCTTCTCACCTCTGCTCCCTAATCACATCTAGTCCTTTAATGTTAACCCTTCTCCCCCATGAACTTAATTTATGTCTCAAATATCTGAGGACTCATAATGAGAAGGCTTCACAATTCTTCCAAAAAGCTCATAAGGAAGAGCAGCAACAATGAAGAATTCCTATTTAAGATTTTCTGAAAGGACTGAGTAGAGACTTTGTCTTAAAGTGTTTCCAGAGTGGTAGTAATCCCAGATCTTGTCTGAAAATCAAATTATATAATCTGTAGAAAAAAGAGGCACTTTCATCCAAGGATATTGGAGAGACCAGTAAAATCTCTTTTCAAGGACTGAGAGGCACACAAAGGTAACCAACCAAAAAATGAAACAGCGCAAACTGAGTAAAGAAATTTAAAAATTTACAAAGATTCCTAAGATCTTCAGATTTCCTAGGTGGTGCTAGTGGTAAAGAATGCACCTGCCAGGAGACATAGAGATGCAGGTTTGACCCCTGGGTTGGGAAGATCCCCTGGAGGAAGGCATGGCAACCCACTCCAGTATTCTTGCCTGGAGAATCCCATGAACAGAGGAGCCTGTTGAGCTACAGTCCATGGGGTTGCAAGGAGTCAGACACGACTGAAGCGACTTAGCACGCATAAGATCTTCAATATTGGTATTATCATATTATGAATCAACTGTGCCTACCATGTTACAAAAATTTTTGAAAAACTGAAAACAAAAAAATCCACTGGAAAGGTAATTATAAATGTTAGATAAATAATAAATCATTCAGACTGCAATACAGAGACAGAAAGATGGAAATTAGAGGGAAATAGACTGGAAAAATCTACCTAACAACTAACTGGAAATCACAAGAAGAGGAGAAAGAATGGAGAAGAGCCCAATATATATGGAGAGGGAAATTTTTCTGAGGACGGGAAGATGCCACTTAACAGATTCAATCTGCACAACAATCCCAAGCAGGAGAAAAGGCAAAGAATTTCATTAAAAGCATGAGAAAATTCTCTCATGCTATTTACAATTATTAAAAAACAGGTAAATGAATTTAATTAAAAAAGAAAATAGAGGCAACAACCCAAATTAATACCAAGAGTAGAATGCTCTGGTCTTGATACATCTGTCCAGCGCCCGTGTGGCTGGGCAAAGTTTCAAAGACAGAGGAGGGTCAGAGTGTTTTTTCCCAAGATTGAGGGTCTTTATCCTCAAAACCCTCACTTGAGTCCGATAATCCTGAGTCCTTCGAGGACACGTAATGCACATCACCGCGGTAGTCGGTGTCCGAGCGACGACGTGACCCCACGAACTTCCGGGAAGTGCAGTTGGTCCCCGTTCAGGTAAGGTTGTGACAGCTCGGATACAGGGTATTTGGGGAAATACAGTCGTGGACAAGTGGAAGCCAAATACTCAAGAGCAGTACAAGCCGAGCAGATGGCAGCAGTTTTGAATGATAGATCTTCGGCTGGTAGAGGCCACTTCTTGTCCCGCACCAGCAAGTCTGCCCTTGTTCAGGGAGGAAAACGTCTGTGCAAGCACAGAAATGACCCAAAAGACGTTTCACGGCCTCGTAATCTTCTGGGAAACATAGGTTCCCGGTTTGGGCTCTCATTATCTTCACAGCGCATGTAGACGCTGCCGTTGGTTTCGGGAAGTGGAGTTCTCCTCCAGAGACGACTATTGTCCACCGCATTCTTCCCGAGGGGTCGATCCCAGTGGAGTCTCAAAGCGGTGTAATTTCTCACAAAGCCCAGCCCGTGGTCTCGCGGTGCTCCGAGATCGCGCGGCCGCTGAGCCTCCTGGGAAGTGTGGTTTTCCGGAAGGCAACCGTTGAGACGCACCGGCAACTTTTCTCTGTGGAGCGGAGGAGTCTGAGAAGTGCCGTCCGGGCCGGGGCTGCGCCTAGGGCTGCCCGGCATTTGTCTCCGACCCAACAGCGGTGTTCTCGGGCCTGGAATCGCGGAGGACTCTGGGCATCGCAGTTCCGGCGAGGCAAGCGGCCTTTGTTCGCTACAGCTACACGGCGCGTCAGGTACGCGGAGGTGCCTGTAGTGGACGGCTTCGGCGCTGGTGCGGGTCTGCTGAGGGGTCAGTCAAGTGTGGGTGCGGGGAGGGTGGCCGAAGCTGGGCACGGCCGCCATAACCTCTCAGGTCCCAGCGTCTACCCCGCGGTATGAGCCCAGGCAGGCCCCTGGCTCCTCTGGGCCTCTGTCCTGCTTTGTAAAAGGGGAGTAAGGATGGCGCTTACCTCTAAGAGCTGTTGTAAAAAAGGAAATGGGAAAGCGAGTGTGCGTTATACGCACTGAAAGAAAAAAAGAAATTGATTGTGTAAACCTTAAACAGATTGCTTCAGTGTTGCCAAGTTTCCGTTTTTCTCATCGTTTATTTAAAAAAGAAATCTGGAATAATGTGACTGCCCACCATGCATAGTGGTAAAGATCGAAAGAGCTCTTATTTAACATTATTATTACTGTTGTTTTATGAGTCAGTCACTTATATATGGGCTCCCCAGGTGGCTCAGTGTTAAAGAATCCACCTGCCAGTGCAGGAGACGCAGGAGACCCCCGCTTTGATCCCTGGGTAGGAAAGACCCCCTGGAGAAGGAAATGGCAACCTGCTCCAGTATTCTTGCCTGAAAATTTACATAGACAGAGGAGCCTGGCGGGCTACAGTCCATAGGGTCCCAAAGAATTGGACACGACTGAGCACACGCACACACACACACTCACACTCTGATGTATATATAACAGTTGATGTACACATAGATGCTACCTGGTTACCTCTTGCCAAGGAACACATTGTTAATTCAGGGAAAGTTTGGAACCCTAGAAAGTGATTCCCAGTGGGATCCTCCATGTAGGTGTGTCCAGAGCTGCGAGGTATGCCTGATTTGTCATGACTGCTTTTTCCTGTTTTGATCTGCCTTTTCAGGCACTGCCCTTCTATAAGAGGAGAACCTGGAAAGAGGACTGTGTCTACTACTGGAAATTGCAGAGTCATGTTTCAGGTAAATTGATTTGTCCCCAAATCTTCCTAAAACACCTACTTTTCAGGACTCTTTTTTTTTTTTTCCTTTTCATTTATTTTTATTAGTTGGAGGCTAATTACTTCACAACATTTCAGTGGGTTTTGTCATACATTGACATGAATCAGCCATGGAGTTACATGTATTCCCCATCCCGATCCCCCCTCCCACCTCCCTCTCCACCCGATTCCTCTGGGTCTTCCCAGTGCACCAGGCCTGAGCACTTGTCTCATGCATCCCACCTGGGCTGGTGATCTGTTTCACTATAGATAATATACATGCTGTTCTTTCGAAACATCCCACCCTCGCCTTCTCCCGCAGAGTCCAAAAGTCTGTTCTGTACATCTGTGTCTCTTTTTCTGTTTTGCATATAGGGTTATCATTAGCATCTTTCTAAATTCCATATATATGTGTTAGTATGCTGTAATGTTCTTTATCTTTCTGGCTTACTTCACTCTCTATAATGGGCTCCAGTTTCATCCATCTCATTAGAACTGATTCAAATGAATTCTTTTTAATGGCTGAGTAATATTCCGTGGTGTATATGTACCACAGCTTCCATCCATTCATCTGCTGATGGGCATCTAGGTTGCTTCCATGCTTTTCAGGACTCTTAAGTGTCTTGCTTTGCCTCTTGTACCAGTTCCCACCTCACAAAGTTCACTTAGGGATTGGATCTTTGATTCCTTTCATTATAACAAAGCATGGAGCCTGCAAAACTCCAAAGTATTTTCTCTTAGTGCTCCTCTTTTCTGTCAGTTTTCTGCTAGAAGCCTCTGAAGAGTCTTGAGCAAAACTTTTTTAAAATTATGATTCAGAATTCAAGTTTGGAATTTTAGGTATTTGCTTTATGGTTGTTTAAGCTGTATCATGTGGTCTCTATTAATGGTATATGCCAGTCTTTTCAGTTATTTAAGTCAAGAGATGTTTGGAGTCATCCTTGAAACCTCCCTTTCTCTTATAATTCACATTCAGACACTTTAGTTAGATCTAAAATATACATAGTATATCTACACAATCTGACCATTGGTTACCACATAACTACCACTACCATTGCCTCCCTGGTCCAAACCACTTAGGTTATTGCAGTGGTCACCTTGCTGGATTTCCTGCTTCTGCCCTTGACCCTCTTCATTCTTCTCAATACGGCTGTCACAGTGATCCTCTTGTTATATAAAATCCTGTCATTCCTCAGCTTGAAACTCTTTGATGGCCCTAACTCAGAAGTCAAAATTGTGTAGTGACAAAAAACTTTGCACAGTTAGGCTGTCTTATTACTTCCCTGATTTCATCTTCTTTGTTCTCTGGGAGTTCCAGCCACACTGGCTACCTGCCTCCAGGCCTTGGAAGTTGCTGTACCTCTGCATGGAATATTCTTTACCTAGATATATACAAGCTTGCATTCTGACCTCCTTTGTATCTTTGCTCTGTAGTTATTTTCTCAGTAAAACTTCCCTGAACACCTATGTAAAATTGTAATCACCTTCTCTCGACTATCACTTCTACTCCTCCATCATTTTGTTGTTTTTCATAGCACTCTCCTGAGGCTCAGTGGTAAAGAACCCGCCTGCCAATGCAGGAGACACAGGATTCACAGTTCGACCCCTGGGTTGGGAAGATCCCCTAGAGGAGGAAATGACAATCCCAGTGTTCTTGCCTGGGAAATCCCATGGACAGAGGAGCCTGGTGGGCTATAGTCCATAGGGTCTCAAAGAATCAGACATGACTGAGCATGCATGCACACACATCACTCACTAGTTGATACACTATGTGTTTACTATATGCATATGCTTATTGTTTATCTCCTCCAACTGGAAAGGATATTTTTTTGTTGACTGTTTTATCTTTAGTGGCCAGAGTGGTATCTGGTATAGCCAGATACTTGGTAAACAGTTGTTGAATGAAGGAGTGATGAGAAAATGATGGGAAAGAATCATGGAGTGGAAGTGAAACCAGTATAGGAGAAGGTATGAGTGGCAGATATGCATGTTGGGCAGAGTCTATTTCTTGGAAATGGTAGACAATTAGAATTGAAAGAAGTCTTTTTTTTTTATTTAGGTAAAAGCTAAAGTGAACTAATTGCCAAAATCATTCATTGACTTATTTTCTAAACAATAAATAACTGTTAGGAGATTCTTACATAGGTTTCTGTCTTTGGTACACAAGATTTCATGATCTCATGCAGTACTGTCAAAGAGAACTTTCTATAGTGGGGGAAGTATCCTATTTGTGTCCTGTCCAATGTGGCAGCCACCAACCCCTTATGACTGTTAAGCACTTGAATTATAACTGGAGTGACTAAGGAACTGAATTTTTTATTTTATTTAAATTTAATTTTAATTAAATTTTATAGCCAGAGACAGTGGCTACTGTATTGAACAATACAGGACTGGTAGAAAAGTAAGAAATCATAAAAATTAAGGTATTTATTTAATATCTAAATTCTAGGGACAGAGGTGAATTAGCATCCCAGGCTGCTGGGACACTGAAGGGGAAGAGATAGTTGAAGCATCCCTGGCTAGAGTTGTCTAGGTGGCCCATAATACCAGGGAGGCAGAGGTGGAAGTGAAGTTAAACCAAACTGAGAGAACACCTTGAGTATAGGTAGAGAGGCCTAAGAGAGTCATTCAAGGAAATGCAAAAATTTTGTGCAACAATGGTTTTCAAACAGGGTTGACTTTGTTCCCCTTAATCCCATTCATAAGAGACATTTGATAATGTCTAGAGACATTTTCAGCTGTTAAAACAGGGGTAGGGAATAGTTAAGGGGAGTTGCTACTAGTATCTGAAGGGTCGAGGCTAGGGATGCTATTAAACATCCTAAAATTCTCAGGACAGCCCCCACAGCAAAGAGTTGTTCAGCTTAAAATGTCAGTAGTGCCAAGACTGAGAAACTTTGATTTAAATAAAGATCAAAGAATATGTTAGAGTATGTGGGGTTTCTTCTCTGGACTATTAATATTATGATATTGACTAATATCAAAACTTAAAATATGAAATGTCTTTGCATTGGTGGAATAAAACATGGTGTTTTATTCATTTAATATAGTGTTGACTTTTCAGTTTGGCTTATCAGGTGAGATTTGTAAAAGCTGATCATTTTAAAGATCACTGTGGAAAACAGGAAAAGATGGACATTTTCTCAGTTCATGTGATAAGGCTAGTATAACCCTCATACCTGGCTAAGAGTAAATACAGATGGGAAAAATAATTTTCCCTGGTGCCAGAGGGAGACCTTCTCCCCTTTCCTTTTCTTAAGAGTGTTTCCTTGAGGAAAATATGTAACTCTATATTCTTTCCCCTGTCCCTTTGAGATGTTTATAAATCTTTTCAAAGCTAAATAAGCCTCTGCCAGTTTTACAGAGCATTAAAGTCTTTCTTAAGGGCATTGGTGGCACTGGTGGTAAACAACCTGCCTGCCAGTGCAGAAGACATAAGAGATGTGGGTTTGATTCCTGAGTTGGGAAAATCCCCTGGGAGGAGGGCATGACAACCCACTCCAGTATTCTTGCCTGGAGACTCCCATGGATAGAGGAGCCTGGCAGGCTATGGTCCATAAGGTTGCACAGAGTTGGACACGACTGAAGCAACTTAGCATGCATGTGCAAGGGCCTTGGAGACATCCCTTTGAAATGAAAACATGAAAGAAGATGCACCTCTGTCTCCCTATCTGTATGGGAGTTTAGCCTAGACTCGGGCTCTAGGTTCTAACTACCTGCTTGTCATAAAGATAATGAGTTTTAATTTTTTTCTTTGGAGTAAAGGCACCTAACACAGAGGACTACCCCAATTACCAGGTGAATTTAGGATGAACTATGTGTTGCAACAGTTCATCCTAAATTCACCTGTAATTGCAAAGTGATGTCTCCAAGGCCCTTGTGCGTGCATGCTAAGTTACTTTAGTCATGTCCAACTCTGTGTGACCCTGTAATGGATTGTATCTGACTGATTTTATAAAAGGGTGAGATTTTTTTTCTGCCATTGCAGTCTCATTAGTTATTAGGTATTATTATGAAGTGCATTACAGTCTGGTTTAATGCTTTTTCAGTAATAAAACTGTTCTCTTTTTATACTATAGAGAGGATTTTCTGCTTGGTAGATTTGATTGATTTTTAATTTTCCCAACACCAGACAAAGGTAAATTCTCTCTTTAAAACCAAAGACCACTATCACTGGTGAAAACATGTGTAAAACATCCAAATGAAGTAATATAGTATTGAATCTATAGTTGGAATGAAAAATTTACAGTAGCCAAACAATGTCTGTTTCACCAATGAAAGGTCATAATAATGACATTTTTAATGCACTGAAGGAAATCTGACCTGCTCTACATTCTTGCTTTGGAAAGGAAAAAAAAGGAAAGCCCTTGGACAGAGGAGCCTGGGGGGCTGCAGTCCATGGGAATCACAAAAGGGTTGGACACAACTTAGGAGCTAAACAACAACAAATGTATACATTTTTTTCACACAATTTGACTAGCCAATAAGTTATGATTGAACATTTAAACTTTTTCTAAAATTTTTCCATTTTAAATAATACCATGAATGAGTACTGTTGGGAAGAAATCTGTTTTCTTAGGATATTTTCCTTAAGATGTATCTTATTTTTTCTTTGCTCTTCCTTTAAGGTTCTATTCAAGGACTACCTACCATCCTTCAGTCCTTTTGCCCAGGAGTCTCAAATTATTTTAATTATAGATTATAAGAGTTAATTATGTACCATAAATGTTTTTGCTTTTTGTTTATAAAGTGATTATGTATATGATTATGTGTTTATCTTTAATTATATATAAAGATGTCTTTGAGCCTATTGGATTCTTTTTTTAAAATTTAATTCATGTTTTATTACTTGGCACATAAGCTATGAAAAACAAAACTAAGCACTTGACTAAATGCTGTCAGATGTTGAATGCTGAATTTTGAAAATTTTATAATTCTGTTCCCTACTCTCCTGAAGCAGAGTTCTTATATTTGTCTCTTACCCTTATTGTATAACAGTGCCAAGCACATAGTTATCCAGTTATTACTTAGATCAGATTCTTGATCATTGTGACAACTGCTGGAATTCTTTTCCCTTTCTTCCACACCAGGGTAATTTTACCCTTTAATCAGTGACAGAAGAGGCCTGGGCTATGGTTGAGCCTAAACATGTTTGCTGTTTCAGGTGACATTTAGTGATGTGGCCATAGACTTCTCTCATGAAGAGTGGAGATGGCTCAGTTCTACTCAGAGGAATTTATACAAGGATGTGATGGTCCAGAATTATGAGAACCTGGTATCCCTAGGTAAGCATATCTCTTCCTCCCCCTCAATGAAGGAGATCGTCCATCTGCCACTGTGAATTGCTAGAGATCCTCTTTAGTAAATGGCTGAATTTTTGTTTCACAGTCCCAAGGACATGTATAGTTTTGTTGTGTCCTGCCTGAAGCTTATCATCCCATTTCAATGAACATTCTTCAGATCTTTCTTTGGTCCCTTTTATGGTGATGGTCTCTCCATGAAGACCACAACTTAAACAGTGTTTTTTCTAATATTTTTCTTGCAAGCAGGTCTTTCCATACCTAAGCCATATGTGATTGCTTTATTGGAGGATGGCAAAGAACCTTGGATGGTGGAGGAAAAGCTGTCAAAAGACATGGTTCCAGGTAAGTCGTGGTAAATCAGGAGTCAGAGGTCTTTGTTTAAAGATGCTTGTGTAAAGTATAGAGGCATTTTAGTATATTTTAGGGATACTGTTATCAGAGATTCCGGATGTAACAAAATTGAGGGATGCTTAGATTTCTAAATGACAATTCCTCTATCCTAAATTATTATCTTTCTGTATTATCTGATCAAAAGTGGAGGGTTTTGCCATCATTATAATCCAAATTGTTATTTATTTAAAGTGAAATAAGGCAAATTATTATTTTATATGTCCACATAAGGAAAAATATACAAATGGTTTATATTTTGTAATATAAAAAAGGCTAAAAAAGCTGTCAACTAAATGGAAAACCACTTTACCCCTGAGGTGGAGCTTCAAAGATCAAGAGTGAACATAAATGTTAAAAGAAGTAAGGGATATATAAGAAGTTTCTAAGAACAGTATTTTCTGTCAATAAATATTATTAGTTCACACAGATCCTACATAAACTCACAAAGCTTAAATCTTGTTGAGCCATAAAGAGTATTTACATTATTTTGTTGTCATTATAGCTGTTTAGTGCAGTGCTATACATTCTCCATATTAAGCATACTAATCTGACAGCAAATTGAGATTAATCAAAGTTTGGAGAACCAAGGCTATGTGAGATAAAATGTAGTCGTTCATATAAGTATAGACATAAAATGTTGGCTTGGGATCCAAAATGCCTTTTGCATTTTCTTTATGATAATTTCATTTTTTCCCCCCACAGACTGTCTATGTATTAATTAATTTCCCTTATTACACTCTCTTCCTGCCTCTGTGAGCTGTTCATATTCTCTGTGCTCCATTTTAACTTTGTTCAGAAATCATTGAATGTATGAGAGTTGTGAGAGCTGTGTGTTTTCTTGGCACTGGGGGGGAATGACTTTATTTTTAATCCAGTTCTCCTGTTTCTACCATAGAAGTTTCTTTTCAAGAAGTTCAGATAAAGCAGATTTGCTCTTTTGATATATTACAGATTGTAAATCAAGATGGGAAAACAAAGAATTATCAAAGAAGGAGGATATTTATGATGAAGATTTACCCCAAATGGTAATAAAGGAAAAAACTATACAACAAAATCTTGAATTTTCAAATTTTAACAAGGACTTGTATTATATCAAGAAGTTGGAGGGGAAGTATGAAAATCAAGTAGAATATTTCAGACCAGTGACCCTCACCTTAAGAGAAAGTCCCATTGGGGAAAGTGTTTACAAATGTAATGCATTTAATAGCATCTTCCATTTGAAGTCTGTTTTCTCTGAACCACAGAGAATTTCTGCTGAAGGGAAGTCACATAAACGTGATATACTTAGGAAGAGCTTACCAACAAATTCAGTTATAAAAAATGAGAATATCAATGATGGAAAGAAACTTTTGAATTCTAATGAAAGTGTAGCAGCCTTCAGCCAAAGCAAATCTCTTACCCTTCACCAGACTTTGAATAGAGAGAAAATCTATACATGCAGTGAATGTGGGAAAGCCTTTGGCAAACAATCAATCCTTAATCGGCATTGGAGAATTCACACAGGAGAGAAACCCTATGAATGTCATGAATGTGGGAAGACTTTTAGCCATGGCTCATCCCTTACTCGACATCAAATAAGCCACAGTGGAGAGAAACCTTACAAATGTATTGAATGTGGGAAAGCCTTTAGCCATGTCTCATCACTTACTAATCATCAAAGCACTCACACTGGAGAGAAACCATATGAATGTATGAACTGTGGAAAGGCATTTAGTCGTGTTTCACATCTCATTGAACATCTGAGAATTCATACTCAAGAAAAACTATATGAATGTCGAATATGTGGGAAGGCATTCATTCACAGGTCATCTCTCATTCACCATCAGAAAATTCATACTGGAGAGAAACCTTATGAATGTAGAGAATGTGGAAAATCCTTTTGCTGTAGCTCACACCTTACTCGACATCAAAGAATTCATGCTATTGAGAAACAATTTGAATGTAACAAATGTCTGAAAGTCTTTAGCAGCCTCTCATTTCTTATTCAGCATCAGAGTATTCATACTGAAGAAAAGCCCTTTGAATGTCAAAAATGTGGGAAATCCTTCAACCAATCCGAATCACTGAATATGCATTTGAGAAACCACACTAGATTGAAACCTTATGAATGCAGTATATGTGGGAAAGCCTTCAGTCACAGGTCATCTCTGTTTCAACATCACAGAATTCATACTGGAGAAAAGCCCTATGAATGCATTAAATGTGGGAAGACCTTCAGCTGTAGTTCAAACCTTACTGTACATCAGAGAATTCATACTGGAGAAAAGCCATATAAATGTAATGAATGTGGGAAGGCATTTAGCAAAGGCTCAAATCTTACTGCCCATCAGCGAGTACATAATGGAGAGAAACCCAGTAGTACAATAAGTGTGGAAAAGTCTTTAGGCCATATGAATCACTATGTGTATGAAAGATCATATAATAGAGAAACTGCATAAAGGCAGTGTTCATCATACTGTACTGTAGCCGTAGATCTCGGATTCAAAATCAGAAAGTCTATACTGGAGAAAATTCTTAAGAATGTAATGAATATGGGAAAGTCTCTAGCAATGATATAAGCCTTATTGTTTATCACAGTTCACACTGTAGAGAGACTATGGAGGCAGTAAGTGTGGGAAAGACTTTAGCCGGCATTAATCCCTTAGTTGACATAAGTAAATCCACACTGGAGAAAAACCTTTTACATGTAACAAGTTGGGAAAGACATTAGGCAAACATGAATCTCTTAAGAAACATTACACACATACAGGAGAGAAGCAATATGAATACAGAAATTGTGAGAAGTCCTTCAATTAAAACATATCCTTCATTCTCTACATCAGAGAACTCACACTGAAGAGAAAGTTTATGTAAGGAATGTAGCAAAGTGTTCACTAAGCTTGCAGGCATCAGAAGATTAATGCTAGAACCACCTGAAGGATGTAGGAAGTATGTGTAAGTCTTTCTTTGCAATGATGCTAATTTGTAAACAGTTCTACAGGAGAGCAAACAAGCATAAATCAACATGCATATCATAAAGTAGCAGCATGCATTTTACTCCAGGTCCTACATAAAAATTAGCTAATGGGCATGTGAAGATAGTCACTCAGTGAATCCAATAAATGTAATAAATGAAAGTTGCAATAGAAGTAAAAAGTGCTATGAATAAAATTTTTCATCTCTAATAAAGTGGTTTTGTATATGTTGAACTCCTTTGACACACTGATATTTCTTAAGAGTTTTCCACTATTTTCCTCTTGATGAATGAGGATCAGCTTTCCCGTATAGCCTTTAGTGGAAGACCAGCAAACCTAGAAAAAAACTGGCCTGACCTCTGTACTAAGTATGTTACTATTTTGGTGAGGTTAATATACAGTCCATCTCCTGTTGGCTTAAATGATGCATTTTAATTTTTACAAGTGCTGTGAGAACCCAACCAAGAAATTACATACAGTGAGGGATTAGAGCAGAGTGGATGTGCGTTTTAGTCCAAATCCTAAAGGATGAGTCCTAATTACAGTGACCCGCCATAACTGCATATTCTGCATCTGTAGATTCAACCACTCAGTTGGAAAAGTGTTTTTTGAAAAGTTTTTATCCAAAAAGTTCTAAAAAGAAAACTTGGACTTAACAGCTGTACACAATTATTTACATATCATTTACATTATGTTTACAACTACTTACATTGTATTGGCTTTTGTAGGGGCTCAGGGAATACATCATATTAGGTGATGATTTAAAAATATACAGGAGGATATGCCTAGGTTATAGCAACTGTGCCATTTTATTTAAGGAACCTGGAGCACCTGCAGGTTTTGGTATCTGTGGAGGTGAGGGAGTATGTTGGTCCTGGAGCCAGTGCCTTGCAGATAAAGGACAACTGTAAGTAAGGCACATGTGCGCTCAAGGATCATTCTAGGCAAAGCAGACCAGCAAGTTCTATCATGTTTGATGCAGCTGAAATCCATTATGTAGTGTCTAGTTCTAGTTTTGTGGCTTTGAGGTATTATTACTCCTGGCAGCAATACTAATAAAGTATCAGTCATTTCTCCATCCCTTGATCATTGTTATGGAGGGTTGGAATTGAGAGCTATTCCCACAACTTCTGCAGCCTGTTCACCAATTTTGATGGCACTAGTATCCTGTACCATAGCTTCTTGAAATATTTAAGAGCATTTTTGTTTTTTACACTGAAGCTTGACATAAATATACTTTCTAAGTGGGGTGGCTTCAAATATTCTAAACAGAATAGACTTACTGGCTCCACAATTTCTTATCTTGTGACTGGAGAGGTTATACAGATCAGTGATTGGGGTTTTACAGACACTGCTGCAAGTAAAAGGCAGTTAAATGTAGTTTATGTTTCAGATTTTAAGAAAGGATATTGTTGATAAAATTCTGGGGTGGGATGAATGATACGGTTTCCAACTTTTAATAAAATACTCTCCATGCTGGTATGTGCTACTTAATGGAAAGCCAATAGGTGAAGGCACATTCCATATCAATTCTCAGCAGATATAGTGAGCTTGGAATGGGATTTTTAATATGAGGCAGAGATTTATATTTCCTCTGATTTAATCATAAGATTTATTTTGACATTCTATGGAATGTTGAAGGACCTTTGAGAGGTTTATAATTAAAGGAGCACAGGATGGTATCAAACAAGGATAAGAACATTTATAATTATGGGTGGACTGGCCCCTATATGTATATTTAGTTGTAAGATAGTGGCAGTAGCTTTTTGTTTCTCCCATGCTCTGCCCTCTATTCTCCCAAGCATTGATGCCAAAAAGATGAACCAGTCCTTATAATCTCCCAGATTTTATTTGCTTTCACTACATACAGTTTCATGCCATCTTGTTACTTTGTTATAAGATTCATCCAGATAATGATACTTTTTCATTTAAAAAGCATGAGCATACACATCACAATGTTTTGCAATTCTTAAAATGCCTTCACAGTGATACTGAACAAGGAGAAGAAAGCCAGAAGCTTAAAGAAGGTTTTAAGAAAGCAATAAAAGTATATACCTTGTTAGAATAAGATAGAGCTGAGATCGTACTGATGTTATAATATCACTAGTGGAGAATCATGCTCAGTCTTACTCAACCATTTCTTGAGCATCTACTGTAGTCAAGGTAAATAAGACGTGTTCCATACAACTTAAGAGCTCAAAAGTGTGTGTGTATGAACAGCGTAGGCTCTGCAGTCATGTTACCTGGGTATAAATCCAAGTTGTGTGTATACTGACTTTGTACAACCTTGGACAATTTACCTTGCTGTACCATCTGTAAAATTATTTTCTCCTTCTGTAAAATGATATCTCAGGATTATGATGAAGATTAAGTAGATTAATTGGTATAAAATGCTTGGTACCTCAAAAGCATTTAAATAAACATTAGCTATTGATTTCATCATTTTTTTCACATGACTGCATCATTCTGGTCTCAAATGTCACATCTTCTAGTGAGTTTTCATAATCACTTGTCACTTAACCTACTTATTGATTCACCTTTTGGTGGCTTTCACAAGACACTCCCATTTCCTTCCAACAAATCCTCCTTTGGTAATTGAACCATCTTGCAGGAGAATGTATTTATTATCCAAAATACTCTGAGGAGACAAGAACACAGCATGGCTACCGGTAGATGGGAGGGTATACTACACATGTGTTTTGGAGAAAGAGCAGGAGGAGGCTTCAGATCCCTGTATGAAGGAAAGTGAGGCTTTACCCAGTGAAACCAGAAGCCCAAAAGATTTGAGCATGACCTCTCAGTACAGGGTCCTCAGGGTTGAGTGCAACTGCCCTTACTGTTCCTGAATGGAGGTTCAGTTCAGTTCAGCTCACTCATGTCTGACTGTGACCCCATGGACTGCAGCACACCAGGCTTTCTTGTCCATCACCAACTCCCGAAGCTTGCTCAAACTCATGTCCATCAAGTCAGTGATGCAATCCAACCATCTCATCCTCTGTCGTCCCCTTCTCCTGCCTTCAGTCTTTCCCAGCACCAGGGTCTTTTCCAATGAGTCAATTCTTTGCATCAGGTGGCCTAAGTATTGGAGCTTCAGCTTCAGCATCAGTCCTTCCAGTGAGTATTTTGGACTGATTTCCTTTAGTATGGACAGGTTTGATCTCCTTGTAGTCCAAGCGACTCTCAAGAGTCTTCTGCAACACCAGAGTTCAAAAGCTTCAATTCTTTGACACTCAGCTTTATGGTCCTCCTGTCATATCCATACATGACTGCTGGAAAAACCATAGCTTTGACTAGATGGACCTTCCATGTATTGAAGATCACTGATGCCTGGAAAGTGACAGTAGCTTCAATAACCTTGGGCTAGTCAGATGTTGCTAGAGATGCTTATGCAGTCATTCATAAAGATCCTGAAAGAACCAAGGCACACGTCACAGCACTTTGTGGGAGGCTAGCTTTGTGTTGGACACCAAAGGAGAGTCACACACTGTCTTTTAAACAGGATGCAATTATGTTAGAGAAAAGAAATGTCTATGATTTCACTGATGAAAGACAATGACAAAGTTTTGTGGCTTGAGAGACACAGAAAGTAAGCTCTGGCATTAGAGATTAACCAGGAAAAAATATAATGATAACAAACAACATTGTTAGCAGCAGCGGTTAGTTTCATGGTTAAGTATATAGCACACTGTATACCTGCACTGTATGCTAAGGACTTTGCAGCATTCAAGCAATTTAATTTCCCAGTTCTGGACCCAAATTTCCAGGTTTGAATCAGCCTATTGATACTGGCACTTGCTTTCCATTAATCTAAGGAAATTTACTTCTCAAGTTTTGACTTCTGCACCAAAACAGAAATAGTTTCCATTTTATCAGAAGGTTTTGAGAATTTACTCATAAAGCGAACAAAGGAGTGCCTAGCACATGTAAGTCATTCATTGTGTTTTTCTTACTTTTATTAATCCTCCCACAGACTATTATGTAAATGTTATAATCATTTTTATGGCACAGTCAGCAACTTGAGACTCAGGCAGTACTAGCAAATATCCAGAGTCACACATCTCAGGAACATAGGCTGAATTTGAAGATCTAGTGAAAGGCATGCAGTTGCCTCCTTGGCAGTATTGTGTCTCAGAAGATCAAAATTCTCTTGGCAATCACACAGATATTCTCATGCCTCCTTGAACAAAAAATATTCCCTTAACCAAGTATTCCCTTTGATTCATTCAGCCTAGGATGTCTCCAATATATTCCAGCCAGAGAGAATAATGTCTACCTTACAAAGTTCACTTTAGTGTCTGACAACAATTCCTCAGACAATAATGAAGAAAATGAGGGCTAAAGAAGTTATAAAGCATTTGGAAAATGATGAGCAAATTGGCAGAAGTTCCTCCTTCCCAGTAGTTAAATGTAAATGGATTAAACTCACCAGTCAAAAGACAGACAGTGGGAGATTTCAATACCCTACTTTCAGTAATGAATAGATC